GCAAGTATCAATCTAACGTCTCATTCCATTTTCAAATGGCTGAGACTTGGTGATGCAAAACCTGCAAATATTAGTTTTCAATTGACAGATAGATCGATTAAAGAGTCATATGTCATTGTAGGAGATATAATGATGAGAGTAGTAAAAATTTTATATCCTATTGCCTTTATAGTTCTTGATATGCCAAAGGATTCATTCTCCTATTATCTTAGCCAATCCTTTTTGCTACTTCTATTCTCTTATTGATGTTTTGAGGGGCTTATTGACATTGATGGTGCATGATGAGATTTACTTAAATATTGTCACCTATTTACTATCAAGTAGAGACATTAAAAAAGTTCAAGAAATTTTTTTCAAGAGGTTTTGAGGAGATAATCCAACAGTCTAATTACCTAGGTAATCGACAAAGGTGAGCACATGGTCAAAGTGGATATGATTGTAAAGGTTAATGGGTGGTTGGAGTTGAAGAAGAGGATATCCTTGGTGTGATGATTGCATTCCTTATATTCAAGGAAAAACGATAAAACACTGAACATGGAGCTGGAGAAAAAAGGGAAAAAAAGAAAAAAGTTATTGGAGAGAGACACTTTCAATGATCTAGAAATTTCCTCTAATTACACTTGAGCAATCATAGGCAAAAAATAAAACTAATGGGACTAAAAACATTTTGTATCACTTATCTTGTATTTTGAATTCATAGTATAATTTTTGTTAGTTATCTTTTATTTGATTGAAGTTAGCTAGCATATCATCGTCCTAAAGATAACTTATTCATAATTGCTTTGAAAGATATCCACCATGTGTTTGGGAAGAACCCTAAGTTTGGGCAAAACTGTGCTACACAAATCAATTCTTCAACATATTCTGTTGCACGCTCGAAAATACAATGATTTATATATTATGTATAACATAATTATCGCATCACTATCCTTCGTGGCAATTAGGAATATATAAGGAACTGTTAAAAATATGTTCAATAATCTGTTCACATGGATGTCAACACTCGGGATCCCCAGTGTTTATATCAACTACCAAGTAGCCAATACACGCAAATTAGGGTCAATACTCGGGCACAAGTATTGAAAACTAGAACTTTAAATAAGACAGGCATAAGGAAGCCCTACCCTAGCAAACTCTGTAGTATGTCGATCAACTATAGCTCTCAACTGCGCAATCTTTGTCATCATACGAGTCTGCTGCTCGATCGGCACAATCATTTGCCTCATAAATGCAACAGACGGGTCAATGAGAACAGACGTAGATGGTGGAACAGACTCTATAGGTGGAGGAGCATAAGTGGATGTCGAGAGGATGTCAGCAGGATGAGGAGTAGAATTAGAAGCCGGAAAATCGGAGGTATCAATAGAAATATGGGCATGTGACATATTTTTTAAAGATATAATAACAATTCACAAAAAAATGAAGAAAATAGGCGAATGTGAAAATTAGCAATTTTAGACAATCTTTTAGAATCATGTTTTTTTTTTGTACATTTGTGGTTTATAGTATGTTTGACACCTCTCCTACATATAGAAATTTTGACTATCGATTAAAAAAACATTGTTAAAGTTAGTGTATTAAAAATTGTATACTCACACAATGTCAAACTTGACGTAAATATGATAATACATGCAGAATGATTGACACCCATTAATTTTTTTTTATCAACCACACATTCTCCTAATAAAATAATATTACACATAAATCTAAAAATATTCATTATTTTTAAATCACATATTTTTTCATCAATTATTATTCCAAAATTTATAATACACCCAAAAAAAGGTGTCAAACACGTGCTAAATCTTTTATTGATGGAAATGAAATCTTGGCTGCCTACTAAAGCAAAGAGTACCTCCCTGTCTCTCAAGCTTTTTTAAGACACTTTGGCTATTCATTCATAGAATCAGTCACAATCAAGCAAAAAAGTCAAAAAAGTACAACATGCTTTTTACGAGGAGAGAGTGTCCTCTAGCTCCCCATAAATTCTATTCCATGTTGTATTTGAATTTTTAGTGACAAAATTTCTTACTAAATTGTCATTTAGTGGTCACGTTTTTCAATTAGACGTATTTTGATTAATGACGTAATCAAAAACGATAAAATAATAATAAAAAATTTATCAAGATATCTTCTGCCCTTGTTTGAGCCCCCATTTTTTTTTTAAAAAAATGCACTCTCAAATAGTGTTTTGACCACATTTTAACAATACATTATTCAACAAAATAATATTAAACGTAAATTTAAAACTTTTTCTTATTTTTTAACCACGCATTTCCCATCAATATAATATTAAAAATACATTTTTTGATAAAAAATGGGGCTCAAACATGGCATCATTCTTGCGCTTCATCCCTTCTTGCCCCCAGTGTAAGCACCTTCCTAGTTCCTTGTCGTCAACCCTGGTCTACCCTCGTCCCATGTACTATCATTATTGAGTTTTGTGTTCAAAGTAGATAGGGCATGGGATTGAAGTGGGGACAAGGTGAGTAGACGAAGGTGACAAAGATTTGGAGAAGGGATCGTTTTGGGGAAGACCTACCTAATCGAAATCTTTAAATTTTGTACATTTGTTTGAACTTGTGTTTGTGGATGTTTATTATCATTCTTTTCAATTGTTTGATCACCAATTGAATTGTTAGTGGATTTTATTGTTATCGAGAGAGACAATAGGGTTGAACCACATTATAATAAACATTGTAAGGTTTGATAGAGGATAGAGATATACCTCTATACTTTATATGATTTCAATATGTGTTCTAGTACTCGTCAATACATTTATCATGTTTGCATTTTTCATCGAGAGATAGAATAGTCACATGAGGGGAATAGATTTGATCACTATCGAGAGAGACTTTCAATTAAATTAAGAACATTGACAAATATAAATGATTTCAAATTGTCCATTTAATTGTTACACTAAAAATATCATAATAAGGGTTCATCGCATTGCAGCAATATATAAAATTAGCATAACATATTGAAATTACAAGAAATCATATTTAAATATTGGTGATCAAACAATTGTAAAAAACTATAAAAAGATAATAAACAGCTACAAAGTAAAGTCAAAATAGTTAATTAAAAATATCATAATAAGGGTTCATCTCATCCTAACAATATATAAAATTACTCTAATATATCGAAATTACAAGAAATTATATTTAAATGAAAAGATATCACCTGGATTTTTGATAAATTGAAAAGATGAAAATGAATTTTGAAATTTTAAATCTCTTCAATGGTTTCTTAATGAATCTCCATTTGCGTCTTCTCTTCTTTGCCCAAAAATTAGGTTTGACCCTTCACTTGATTGAATTCTTGCAAATTTTCTTCAATTCTCTCACAAAAACTATGAAATCTGCCCATTTGATGATAATAATTGATAAATAATGGAGTATAATATGTACATAAGAATTCCCTAATATTTATTCTGTTGTTATGTATTTGTACCAGTCGAAAATTGGTGAAAAATCACGTCCAAATTGACTTCCAAAAGAGTTCTAAACGAATAAGAAAAGTTGCATTCGCACGCAGATTTTTTGTCTCTACATAACAGTTAGTATTGTGACCATAAATTTCTCATATGATGTCCGATTAAAACAACTCAAAATGAGTTGGAAAGATAACTTCAATGGCTACAACTTTTATCCCAATTTCGGAGTTTACTATACCCAAATTGGGTCTCAATTTTCGACTAAAAATCTGGAATATAACTTGTGCGATTATACATTGATTGTGATAATATTTCCTTCCTTTTTTGAATTCTAATTTCACCCAATTGTCTCCTAGAAATCTTAAAGTATCATCTTGTGGTCCAAATCAACTACTGAATTTGTAATTTGATCCTCAAACTTTGAATTTTGTCATTTTTCACTATTTTTCGCTTCTTTCTTTCAATTCTCTCTTCAACCATTGAGTTTTACTTATATAATATAAAATAAAAAAATTTAGGATATATTTTATCAAAAGAACTACCAAATATCGATATTTTAGAACCTCAAAGAAGTGTATAAAATACTTGTATAAAATACACTTATCATTAGCCTTAAAATTTATCGAGGAACGCAATGTCTGCTGCGTTCTGGGACAAATAATGCCCTCTTTTTTATGTCACCAAATTCTACAACGTTCAATCTATTCATTCATTGATCAATCAATTACAATTAAGCCATAAATTTATGACATGCCTTTCTTGAGGGGGCATGCTCTACGTACTCTCAACTTCTAATTGATGTATCTTTTTTTCTTTTTTCTCTCGTTCTTTATTTGTTTCGTTTCTTGCTTTCAATAATTGATATTTTTTTTTTGTTGTTATGACGGTAAACACATCATGAAGAGAAAAATATTATAATTTTTATCTTGTTTTCACTTT